AAAAGCGCTTTTTAAAGCGCCCTTTTTTCTCCGCGGTCGTTTTCGTCGCACTGTGATGACGTCACGCACGCGCTTTCGTCGAGCGCGCTTTAGTCTACCGCGGTTTTGTGGTGGAACCGTAAAATGAGGATCCAGATTGTTGGGGGCAATATGCTGACTCTGTAAAACCGCTTAGAGAGGGATGTAAAAGCACTATGAAGCGGTATATAAGTCTAAGTGCTATTGCTATTCATTCATTCATTCTTTGGTTCATTGTTCACAGCAATATTTTTACAATGATTTCTAATTAGTTAATTACAATCAGGCCTTTAACGTGCCAACAAAGCTACAACCATTTATGTAGTACCTTGGAGTTGCTGGAATTCCTTTGTTGCGAGCTTTATCACTCTCTCCCATCTTATCCATCCAGGTACCACAATTAAAACGGTTCCCTCCAAAGACAAAGCCTGTTTCCATGTCCACTCCTGCAGTTACATTAAAGCCTACAAAACACAAATGCCAGCTTGTTTTCCAGGAAAGCCACATAAAAATGTTGCCCTTTGTGCATCCACTCGGAATGAACTGGGGTTTTTATGGCAGCCCAAATTACATTAACTGACAACACAGTGATATGAAAGATTTTCTCTAAAATTCAGGGGGGTCAAACTGGCTGCCCGCCAGCTGGATGCATCGTGAGTAGGCCACGCCCATCCTGCCTACAACACAAAAAACATTGTGGTACGTCATGTGACGTCACGTGACGCAATCGACTTTGACACCCGTGCTCTAAATCACGGAAAAGTGTATCTTTAAGGGATTTAAAGAAAATCTCACTTTATTTCAAGATATTTTAGGAAGCTAAAAAATAAACATCCATTTAAAAAAATAGTTAAAAGAATATGTACCTTCATCTCTCATATTTCGATCTATTTGTGGGCCAGCATTCCTCTCTCGGAAATCTATGCCTTGGGCGTGCTTTTGCATTGCTTCCTGGATCACTTCATATAATGGCTGATCCTGGGAGGAAAGAATAAAAAAAAATTGTAAATTCAAAACACACATAACAAGGAACATTAAGTTTGTAAAGGAACATCCTATTCAGAGGCAAGTCCAATGGACTCACTCTCAAGAGAGTGTGTGTGTTGGATTTATGTCCTGTGTTTCCCCAGAATTTCAAAATGGTTACATAAAACTCATTTTATCTCTGAAAAACTATTTTATGAGCTAAGTTGGGCTAATAAAGAATGGCAGGGCCTGGTGAGTGGATTTGCCTGAAAATAAATTTGAAACTGAACATCCTCACTTTACTCACTCCAACCTCTGCACTTTATTACCCTCCCCCCCACATTCAAACGTTTTTGAATCTTAGAGATATTTTGATTTTCTTGACAACGTTTTTCAAAAGCGGGTTGTCATTGCTTCCTTCCTAGAGTTGAGAGAAAGTAACTGACTCACCTAGCTGGCTTTGCCCTAAGGCAGGACTAGAACTCGCGACCTCCTGGTTTCCAGTCTGATGCCTTAACCAAAATGACTCTCAAAACTTTAAAGTGGTCCTTTGTACTATGTAATATCAAGTGTAAATTTAAGGTACTGAAGACAGACATAGTCAGTATTTCTCCTTCTGAAGCAGGTCAGAAATACTTCAACACTACAGTGCAATAATATATACAATTGGTTTACTGAGAACAATTCCACTTCCTTTTAACATTTGTCTTTTAACAAATTTGATTACAACAGTAAGACTATGTCAATGGAAGTAATACTGCAATATTGAAGTTCTTCGGGCAAGTGTTTGCATTTTATATTAAACTGCAGAGCAACAGAAATTTCTTCTCAACCTCTGTTAAGGACAAAACCTTTTTATGTTATCAAATGTCACCAAACATAATAATCCAAGATGGATTTTTGCAATCATAATAGTATCAGGCAGTAACAGGCATCGCACAACACCATAGAGCAGTGGTGTCAAACTCAATTTCATTGAGGGCTGCATCAGGTTTGTGTTTGACCTGGAGGGGGCATGGCCATGCGGGGGGGGGGGGGGGGCTGGCTGGGTTGGGCTCCATTTCACTCATCAAGGCTCCACTTTTGGTTACGATGGCTTCCTGCAGCCCTCTACCAGTCAAAACGGAGCTCAGGGAGGCTTTGCGTGGCCCTCCCGGGCTCCATTTTTGGCCACAACGAGCTCCTACAATCCTCTGCCACCGAAAACGGAGTTAACACATGGCCCTCCTGAGCTCCATTTTCACTGGCAGAGGCACTGCAGGTTGGTCCTTTGTTGTTTCCAGGGTGGCCCCCACGGGTCAAATCTAAGCACCCTGCGGGCCACCTTGAATTTGACATCCCTGCCATAGAGGATGAATCTACTTCAGCAATAATCTGAAATGAGCTAATGTCAACTCGCAAAACTAGAAGATTCCTCTCCCAAACCAACACACGGATAAAACATATAAGGGACTGAACGGAGCTAAAAAGAGAGAAGCTATAATTTACCATTTTGCCTGCTGGCTGAGGTAGAGAATCATCAGTAGGATACATTCTAGATATCGGACAGTTGAGAATGTCTGTGCCATTTGGAACGGTTTTACAATAATCTTGTACACACTGAAGCCACCACCACACAGCATCACGACAATTGTACCTGGCATGAGTACCTTGGCCAAGCAGATTGGGAATGAGACCATGCCTTAGGGTGCCGGCAAATGCTAATATTATGTTCCTGAAACCAGAGAGATGGAGAAGGGAGTGAAGATAAAATGGTAGGCTTTCAAGTTTTCTATTACATTTCACTAAAAAGTATGTGAAGTAAAAATGGTTGCAAAATCAGACCAGGTCATGAGATGCTCACTTAATAACTGCATCACTTAGTAAAGAAGCTTCTGATCCCACAAGGACGATCTGTATTTAGTCTTGCATGGATAAATCATTCTGTTTAATAAGAGCCTTCCAGAGGATTTTCCGAAAGGCACTCAGGCCAGGATTAGGATGGGTTACACAAACAAATAATTCCATCCTTTCTAGTTGGGAAATATTAACCAAAAATGTACACATAAAGCATTGCTTTAAATGACTAGAATCTTATTTATCCCAATACAAATTTCTATTTTAGTTTTCCTGTTCGTATAAATCATACAAGTCCTCAACTTACAACAGTTCATTTAGTGACCATTCAAGATACAACGGCACTGAATAATGTGACTTATGACTGTTTTTCACAATTGCGACCTTTGCAGTATTCCCATGGTCATGTGATCAAAATTCAGATGCTTGGCAACTGGTTCATGTTTATGACCATTGTTGCGTCCCAAGGGGTGATCCACCTTTTGTGACCTGCTGATAAGCAAAGTCAATGGGGAAGCCAGATTCACTTAACGACCGGGTTACTAATTTAGTGACTGCAGAGATTCACTTAACAATTGTGTCACTTAACAACAGAAATGTTGGGCTCAGTTGTGGTTGTAAACCAAGGACTATTGATGTGTAGATATGTAGATAGGCGTGACCCGTCAAATGTGCGCCCGACAGAAGCGCGCCGACAAAACTGCGGTGAGAAAACCGCGAGGTCGAAAGCGCTCCCACAAAAGAGCGCCGACAAAACCGCGCCCACAAAAGCACGATTAGGGTTAAGGTAAGAGTTAGGGTTAGGTTTAGAGTTAGGGTTATTACATTATTATTACGTTGTTTTCGCATTGTTTCTTGATGGCGCGCTTTCATCGGCGCGCATTTGTCAGCGCCCTTCTGTGAGCGCGATTTCAACCTCGTGGTTTTCTTGCCACGCTTTTGTCGAGTGTGCATTTGTCGGTGAACCATAGATAGGTAGGTAAGAGGGCGAGAGAGGGAGAGATAGAGACCGACAGAGATACTATTGACATCTGTAACTGCTTTACCTTGCTTCTAAGTAGCGTCCAGTAACTAACATCAGTCCTCTCAGTGCAATAAAGGTGTCTCTCCCCCAGCAACGGAAAATGCCAGATGAGAAATGAGGTAAACCTGAGAGTGAGAGACAAAGCAGATGTATAAAGCTTAAGAACTTAATAGCTCTCTACCTTTCAAAAAACAGCTTACTTTATATTTATGGCTGAGCCACACACTATTCCATTCCCTCTGAGTAACTCAATTTGGATGATGTCCATCTGCACAAAGTCATCCTAATTTATTTATTTTTTAAATGAATATTGGGACCTTCCTTACTCTCATTAGCTAGCAAGACTTATCTACAGGATAAGATAGATGAACCTTTTGTTTCTCTGCTTGATAACATTCGCTTGGAACCAATATGAGTTAGGAAAGGATATGAATTGTTGGGAGAAAGGCCCTAAAATATATAGAGGAAATACTAGGACTTCATATAGGAATATAGGAACACATCATTTTCTTAATAATGTAAGAAAATATTACCAGTATATATTTGTAAATCTTTTGTACTTGTATCTGACTGTAACTTTAAAATCATCTCTGTAACACTGTTCTGTCAAGCTCTATCTAAATAACAATTTATTTTGGTTCTTGCTTGACACTGGAACACTAAATCTGACATGAGATTTGACATGACCCTGATTCTAATACCTACATATTTACTTATATTTTCTTTTAACACAACTCATATGTACTATAACGCTCACTATATTTATAGACTAGTCCACCCAATGAAGAATACAGAATATATAATTACTAGATGTGTAATAACAATCCACAAATATATAATCTCATTTCAAACAGCCACTTGTACATTATACACTTGGGTACACAGACAAATTATTGGAATACACACACACACACACAGTTGCAAGAAAAAGTATGTAAACCCCTTGGGATTACGTAGAGTTTTGCATGAATTTGTCATAAAATGTGCTCTGAACTTCATCTAAATCACAACAATAGAAAAACACAGTCTGCTGAAAATAATACTACAACAAAAGCTAAACTTTTTGGAGGATAATAGTCTTTTGAGTTACATATCTGGTGTAATATGACAACTTGACAACATAAATGGATGTTCCACACTCTTACTATGGCCCAAAAACTGATAACTGCAGCATTGGAAACATAAATTTATAGCACCTTTCATTCAATGAAGATCTGATTGAATGGGTTGCCGAAGAGATGTAGACTTTGTATGGATTTAAATTTTTTTTTAACTAGGTTTTCCCCCTTTTCTTTGACAATGCATTTCTAACACAAGTATCGTTATATTTTGTTCTTTTTCTGGTTTTCTGTTATTATATTTAAAGCAATAAAAATAAATAATGAATTACATATAGCTTATGGCGAAGCATTGAAAGTTATATGTAGATTTGTAAAGTTTCAGAAGTTTACCAGAATTCTTATTCTTTATACTTTTGACAGAGGTAAGTTTCAGCTTCATAGAATTTTAGCATCAATATAAAAATGACTGTCAAATACAAATGTAAAGAATGTCAGTAGAAACTGATTTACATAAACTATTTTATCCAACCTTGTGGTCGTGAAAGATATGCAAAGGGACCAAATGTTATTAGATGAGACCAACTAGTTAAATGTCTATGGAGATTTTCCATAGTGTTCTCCAAGTGAGAACCACAGAGTTGAGCTAATTTCAGTTGTGGATTCTTCATAACACTCTCATGTTTATGGAGATTCGCGGTCATCCAAATCATGGTTGTCCCAAAGGTGCTTTTTCAGGAAGCAACTGGACTTTCTTGTTTTTCTTTGAAGATGCTTTGCTTCTCATCTAAAAAGCTTCTTCAGCTCTGACTAGATGGTGGGGTGTCCAATCAGAACTGAAGAAGCTTCTTGGCTGAAAAGCGACATGTCTTCAAAGAAAAACAAGGAAGACCAGTTGTCTCCTGAAAAAGCATCTTTGGGACGATCAAACATTAGGATAATGGAATTCTAGAAAGCAGGAATTCTTAAGGCCAGCTAATAAAAGAAGGCTCTGAATCAACTAATTGAGTCTGCTGAATCTATTTTTGTTAACACAAGCTATCCTACTAAAAATTACTGATGATGGTGGTGTTCTGGAAACATCACACCACCTAATTTTTGAATTTCTTTAGAGAGAGCTAACACACCTGTCCAAACTCCAATGTTATCTCTTAATTTAGAGTGGGAGACAGAAAAAGTACCGAGTATAGTTTCAGGAACTAATTGAAGGAATATGACTGTTACTATCCACTCAGATTTAATTAGATTTATACTACACTGCTCTTCCTGCCTTCCCAACACCAGATCTCCAAGGTTCATGAGCCCAAAAATAAATGCTTCATTTCTGCTAGCAGAGATTCAAAACATGCAAAATATTTTTAAAGGTGGATTCTTTCATGGACCAGTGACCTTGCTTACCAGCTGCTAAAGAAACACAGCACTGTTCTTTTTCTCTTGTAATCTCATTCAGCCTATAAGGGACATCCTTTAAGGCAGGAGACAGAGGTGGCAAAGATGGATATTTTCCTATTCCACACATCTGGACTGAGCCCAAGGAAAGATGTTTAACAAACGTTGAACCATTCTGAACAAAGCTGTAATTAAAGCAACACTTTCAAGTCCATAAATTTTCTGGTACCAAGCTAGCAAAAAGGCACTAATACAACAATAAAACAATAAGTACAAAAGATAGAACAGGAAAATCTATATAATTAAAAAAACCAATGACACTAGAATTACACTGAAACTTCAATTTTATGGATCTTGATGCAATGGACCTCATCTCCACTGTGGTTTACATTGCTTGTGTAATCATGTCAAATTAAATTTGCATTAATATACATCATTTGCATAATATTGGAATTATAAACATGACTGCATGATAACGTTATCACAAAAACAACACAAATATACGTGATGACCTCTTCTATGTCATGGAAATGTATAAATATATTTTCAATTTGTCCATAAAGTACCTTTTACTGTAATTAGGCCATGAGGGCTGTGAGTGCCTCCACCTGCGTACTGGACCCGTGTCCCTCATGGCTGGTTACCAGCAGCAGTGAGGTGA